CCGCCCCTCCCACTATAACTGGGAAAGACCATTACCCTCCCAGAGCTGGCCTGGAAGTCAGGAGTCTGGTCTACCCCTAGCCCCCCTGTGCTGGAGTAGCTGGGCTGCTGAGACAACCCCCTCCCCTGCCTACTGCCCCCATTCCTCAGGCTGTGGGGAGAGGCACCTTCTGTTTCTGCAGCTCTTGACGCTTGATCAGGGCCAACTGGAAATTGTCCACCAGGACAGCAATCACCAGGCTGAGAGAGAGTGGGACATGGGTTCTTTCACCTCTACAGGACACGGGCTTTAATCAGGCCCTGGGGGGAGGGGGGACTATTGAGCCATTTCCCTCTCCAGGGTCTGAGTGCTAGGGAGGTGTGGGGAGGGCAGAGGGAGATGGACGTAGGCTGAAGGAATGGGGGAGCTGGGTGAGGAGAGAACCAGTGTGCCAAAGGAGCTGGCCTCACTTGAGGAAGGTGAAGTACTCGATGATGATGTAGGCCATGAGGAAGAAGATAATGTATGAGGCACCTGAAAGAGAAGGTCAAGCTCCAGTTGAGCAGGGAGCAGTTTCAGGTAAAGAACCTAGGAGCCTTGGTTCCCAGCCCCTCTGGATATAACCCACTAACCCCCCACTCCCTTCCCAGAACTGGGGGCTCCAACCCACAAGCCCTGGCTCCCAGCCCTTTGTCCCTCTTGCTCTAAGCACTAATATTCCACTTCCCTCCCAGTGTGGGGATAGAACCCAGCCTCCTGCCAGCCTGTGGGGGGGAGAGGGGAAGGTGTCTCACCCGTTTGGACGCAGTCCAGGTAGATGAAGGACCAGTCGTCCAGTGTGAAGAGCTGGAAGAGGGTGAAGATGGTATCAAAGAGCTCCCCGAAGTGCTGGGGGTCTGAGCTTTGGAACAGGTCATGCGTGTCTACTGAGAACATGACTGGGGGCAAAGGGCTAAGGAGCAACAACACTGTGAGCCAAAGGCCTCCCAAAGCTGACTGGAGAGTGGGTCTAGAGGGGCTACTGAAACCTGCAGAGATTGACACCTGGCGTCTAGGTCACCCGGGAACACCGTGCGAGATCTCAGATGCAAGCCAACGTCACCAGGCTACCATGGCAAAAGGCAGGCAGAGTTCTGCACTGGCAGTGTGGTCTGAGCCTGTGTTTAGGGGGACTGGCACCAAGGTGGAAAAACGGGTTTTGTCAGACATGGGCTGCTTAGCCATGGGTCTGTCTGCATGGTGACTGGGTACTGGCTCGTTCACATAGCACCAGTCTGAACTGACTGCAGATGATAGTTTATTTCTGAAGTTCTTACGTACCAACAGGAAGAGAAAAGCTGATAAGTAGGGGGATACCATATCTTGAGGTGCACTGCAAAGGTTTGCTTGGCTATATTTGGGGACAGAGAAAACAGTCGGGATCTTAGGCAGTCTTGGGGGAAGATGCTGGGGAGACTGTTGGGTGAGACAAGGTTCTTGCACAGGCGGGACCCCTGGGAGTTAAACTGAAGCATAGGAAGTAGGCAGGGGTTTTGTTTGTCACCATTTGTTTCCAATATTCCTACTCCATCCCTGGAATCACCATTCTTGGACACTGCACTTCACAGTGCAATATACTTAGGCTGTGTCTAGACTGGCAAGTTTTTCCGCAAAAGCAGCTGCTTTTGTGGAAAAACTTGCCAGCTGTCTACACTGGCCACTTGAATTTCCACAAGAACACTGACTTCCTACTGTCTGAAATCAGTGCTTCTTGCGGAAATACTATGCTGCTCCTGTTCGGGCAAAAGTCCTTTTGCGCAGAAGGGCCAGTGTAGACAGCTGAGATTTGTTTTCTGCAAAAAAGCCCTGATTGCGAAAATGGCGATTGGGGCTTTTTTGCGCAAAAGCACATCTAGATTGGCCACGGATGCTTTTCCACAAAAAGCGCTTTTGCAGAAAAGCATCCGTGCCAATCTAGACGCTCTTTTCCGCAAATGCTTTTAATGGAAAACTCTTCCATTAAAAGCATTTGCGGAAAATCATGCCAGTCTAGATGTAGCCTTAGAGTTGCACTATAAATGCAAGTGCTGTGGTGCCAGGTAAAGGGATGGGTCTCAACTGATTCTTATCAGCTGTCTTGTACAGCTCCTTTGGGAACCATAGGCCTGGTGACTCTGGGGCATCCAGTGGCTGGATGCTACGGGACATGCTCCGGTGGCTGGGGTGTGCCTGGCATGCCCTACAGAGAGAGTGGGACTGGAAGGGGGGGCCTGGAGCCAGGCTGCTGCTGTCAGCTCCTGGTGGGTTTAGGGATCTGGTCTATAGTAGGTAAAGACAGGGCTGCCTCATGTTAAGACAGGTTGTGGTGCCTCTCAGCCTGGGGGAGCATCAGGTATCCCCAGGGAGAGAGCCCCTGCTGTGCCCCCTCACATTCCAGAGAGATCCCCCACTGCATCCCTCCCACCCTGCAAAGAGAGTCCCCACTGCGCCCTCCCCATAATCCAGAGAGGGAGTCCCTACTGCATCCCCCACCCCACAGGGAGAGAGCTCTCACTGCCTCTCCCAGCTGCAGGCAGCATCCCCTCCCTGCAGGGAGAG